TTTCTTTAAAGCTAGAACAGGATCCCATCTTCAACTGAGGTCTCACCATACTGTTGCTAGTGCATACTTGTTCCTCAGCAAGACAACTTGTATCCCAAATAGGTGGAATGAATTTTGTATATCAGCTTTAAGCAGTGCTGTATTACGGAATTCTGTCTTTGTGCTTTAGACCAATATAATGAAAAGTTAAACATTAATATGTCCTCAGAACTTTTCTCAAATATTTGTAATATGAGACAGTTAATTTAAGAGACAGTGAACAGAGGTAAAGTTTTTACATTTGTTTTTTGTTACGGTGCAAGTAATTGGAATAGTTCAAGCAGTGGAAATTAAATGTTGCCAAGTAGGAAAACAGTTGCTAGATGGCAGCTGGGGAACTTCTATTCTACAGAAGTCTTGATAATGGGAGCCTCTGACATTTACATGATTGTAGGATAGTAGTGATATAGGTGGCCGCTGAATGCACACACCCAGCATTTGAAATGTCACTCTGTCTCTGTAAATCCAGTGAAAAAAGTGACAATTATTCTGGGTGTGTCTTCCAGCAGAGTCTCTTCTGCAACTCAGTCCCACACAGGCTTGTGAGAAGTGGTTTCATTTGCCCTTCTGACACTTTGTGAGAAGGTGACCTTTATGGTTTTAAGTTTCCAAGCGTCTTGGTTCCCATGATTTTTTCCCTGCTTTCTCTTCTGTCTAGATAGTCCCAGTGTTCACATACATTTTCAGGCCAGTAATTTTCCCAAGAGAAGTGCCACCACGTCCACTTTTTTCAGTTTCACTGTAGCTTCTGATAGAGAGGCAGAAATTCCACTGATGTGGCTTCTTATTTTTTAGTATTTTCTGCTGTCACTATTTACCCTGTGGGAGTACCAGAAGTCTCCCATTCTGGGACAGGGTGTTTGTAGGTAACCAAGTGCATTATAAATGCCTTCTGCCAAGTAGAGGTGACAACTTCAGCCCGGTTCATGTGTTTCCATGTGAATGATGTTCAGTCTCTGAAATGTCACACAAAATAATGAGGGCTTTATACTATGCCTGCCTGCCTGAGTGTTCCCTCTCCCCACCTGTGCCCGTTGTTCCAGGCACTGTTGTCTTGCATTTTTGGCTAGGTGCAACCTGGAGGTGACATCCCCTCTTGTAGATGCCAAAATCTAGTAGGTGCCTTGCCATTCACGTTTACTCTGTCACTTGTAACCCTGTGTCTGCCATCACAGGTTTAGCACTGGGGGGACCTGGGGAGGAGATGCTTGCAAGCACATCAATTGTTGGACCATGACAGCTGGTTTGAAGTCTGACTGGCCTGGATGATGACCTGCAGGCTGTCAGTGTGCTCCTCAACAGTGCCTTTCCAAAGGGTGTGTTTGAGGGATCTACATTTTAATTTGTAGTCATCTAATGGATCAAGACTGTGGCAAAATTTCTGGACTTTTCTTCTGCACAGACACTAGAAGAATGTTTGACTGAGGAGTGCTGTGTTCTCGTGCTCAGTGCACTGTAATTTACAGGTCAAATTACTGCTCTTGGTACTAGTGGGTCTAAATAGAGTTTTCTAGAAATTGTGCATGGATTTTTCTGTTCTGAGATAATTTAAGGCCTGCACATGTAGTTTGCTTCTCTCTACATATATACACACAGATGATTATTATGCTGGTAAGGTTTCAGTTCAGCGGGGCTGTTTATCTTTCTTGAGAAACTGAAATTTGGTGGCTAGATAACATGCTCTTCAGACTTGCTGTTAAATGAATGACTAGTGATTCCGCAGATTTTAACAAGATGGGTCAAGACTACATTTTGGACAAATCATTCCTGGAGATGGAAGAAAGGTCTTGTTCTTACAGCTCTTGTATTTAAATAACAAACCATCAATTCATTCAGTTGCTCACAGTCCTGACTAAAATTTAGGGGATTGCTGATTCTGCTGCAGTTTCAGTATTAACACTACTCTAATCATTAAAGGTGCTGAATGCTGCTGTCAGCTGCTTCACACACTTAGTGTGCACAAACGTGATCTTTTAATCAGTTCTTGGAGCCATGCATATGCAATACTTATCATTAGTTTATAATTAACTTTAATTATATATGGAGATCAGCCCAAGCCATAAAATGTAAATTTAGATATTTACTATGCTAATAAGAAGATTTAGTGAAGATAAAGAGCTTGATTTTTAAAATTTTCACTACTACAATAGTGTGATGGAGTGAAAGTGGTGTTAAAATTAGTATAGCTGCAGTAAACGTCCATATTATGGTTTTCTTACTGCAGATTGCTGTAGATGAGATTCAGGCCCAAAAGGTTGTATCTTTCACATAATGAAACATGGCCTCAGAGGATCTGAGACAGTAGAAAACAGATTGCAGGTGCTCTGAGAGGTGAGTTTGTCCACAGGCATGCCAACAAGTGTTTTGAACCATATATAAACATACCAGGTAGTTATTCACCCAAGGACAATTTTGCAACAGGTAGGAGTGGGATTTCTGCTGAGGAAAGGGGAGCATTCCCCTTTATTTCGATGCTACAGTTAAATTCCAGGCACAAGTATTTTCCAGGTGTGCACAGAGGTGCTACGTACATCTGCATTGGGTCGTGCTGTTCCTGATACAGATAAACAGGAAACTGAGTGCTGTGGTGAGCTGCTGTGTTGCTGTGCTAACTCTGCAGTCTTCTTCTAAAGGCTTTATTGAAAAAACAAACCAATTAAGTAATATTGGGAATGATAAAAGAGATTTAGTGGCTTCTGTGGCTAAGGTTCTACATTAGCATTTAGCTTTTGCTGGGGAGACAGTAGCTTTTTTTTGTTTGTTTACATCTGGGAATCAAATCTTGCATGTTGTGCAAATAATTTAATCTTTATGGCTGTTACTGCTGCATATAAAGTGTTGCTGTGTTGATACCTGCTGGCTAAGTGAATCAGGAAGGGATACATTTATGCATGTTACTGTTTACTGTATTTAATGGAAATGAAAAGTGAAGTAATAAATTGGGGAATATCCCACTACAACTATTCTTCTTTATTTTGGAACAAAGCATCCATGTTGCTGGATCCTGGTTAATCACTGTCTAGTGACCTAGATACGCTGAAACATTCCCCTTTCCTTTTCCCCCCATTTTGTTTTTTTAAATGAAAATGATGTGGTTTGCTGTTGACTGGAAGGCTCGATTTTGGAAAGATTTCTTGTAATGGTGAGGGGGCTACAAAATGATTTTCAAAGCATCCCTGGACACAGTTCCTGGTGCAACGGTATGGAAGGGGACAACAGACAGAGATGGGGCAGACAAGAGCTCTGTAGTTAGAATGACTGCTAGATGTCTTACACCCTCGCTTTAGTATTTTCTTCCTAAAACCATTTCCAGACACTGGAAGTTGACATTACTTACGCAAAACCTTTTTAAAGTTTTAACCATTTTAAACACTTTCTAAGTTAACTTTTAGAAAGGCACATTAGCATAAAAATTAAGGAATCACAATACTTGGCTGCGTGACTAAAAATGCTTGGAAGTTAATCAGGTATTTAAACATGTAGATTAAAATTATAGCCTCTAATAACATTACTATCTTAGCTGTGAAGAAAATCAAGACATTGAGCCAGTTTGTTTGTTAGATTTATATATCCAACTCCTGCCACAAGACCCATGGAATCTTTCTTTGCTCGGGGAAAAAGTGACATGGCACGTTATTAGATAATTAACTTCAATTTAAAAATAGATATGAAGTGAGCGAAGTAATCTATTATGTTTCCAGATCGGAACTATATACAGTTTTCCGTAGTTCATACTACTTGATGTATCAATTATGATTGCATATTAGGCCTTTGTATTAAAACATTACTTGACTGTATTTTCTGACTCTTGGCTTGAAGCCTGCAATATCGTGTTTGCAAGTGGTGCAGCTCAGAACCGTTGCTATAGGACACTTCAGTAGTTTCTGGTTACAAAACTTGGCAAGCAGTGGTAAAAGCGTGCCTGACTCTGCGTAATGCCTTTGGATTCCCAGCAGGAACATCTCTTGTTTCCTTTCTGTTGTGTCTTAATTAAACCTTGACGAGACAAATCTCCCCTCGCTGCGATGCCTGATGTAGGCATCTGATTGCCTGATACTCCTTCTGTAGCTAGCAGAGCAAGCTGGGGCAGAGGAGTGTTTGCAGAGGTTGATGTGGGCCACATGAGATTAGTAGGACAGGCAAACTTTTGTTTTCCTTATGACTATAGAGGGAGATTGGAGCCGAATGGCTTCTTATGTAGACTTTTATGGCCACAAAGGTCTAACTTGAAACTGATGATCTCTGCGCCTGCTGGGGATCAGATCAAGATCTCTCCTGGAAACACTTTATCATCCACAGTGCTCCTCAGTCAGGCCTTTGACAAAGCCTTTGGTTTGAAAATCTGCTGGTCTCCAACTGGGATAACATAGCATATGTTGGCTTTTGGAGCAGTCAAATATTCAGTTGCAATATGTGGAGCAAAATATAGTTTGGAACAAGAAGTGCAACAGTGATTGACTGTATGTGCGTCGTGTACTGCTGAGTGTCTGTTCTAGGAGAAACCAAAGAGTTAGGCCAAAAGGAATCAAATGTTTTAATAATAGGTTCCAGTGTAATTCTGTATTTAGACTGAGAGAGGCTCAGATGTTGCCTCTCAGAGATGCTGATTATAGGAATCCACCTGACTCCTCCCTGTTGATCTGAGAAGCAGGTAACTAGCACTGCTGAAAATTGTGTTGCTTTTGTCCCTATGCTTGAATTTTTGTGCAACCAAGGTGGAAGTTGTTGGGTAACAGGTTTTATAAGAGGGGAACCAGAGAGCGTTTTTCTTTAGTAGCTTCTACAATACATAAAGGATTTAGGTCTCGGACAATTTCTAGGGAAAGTAGAATTAGGGATTAAGATGTGACGTTGTCTGAGTCCCCTGATATGTTATAAAATACTTTCTTGTTGTAGGTATTGCAATAGGTTACTGCTAACCAATGTTGCTAACCTGTATTAATTTCAATTTCCCCTTGCAGTAATGCGTAGAAATCCATTTGGGATGGACATTTGCTGCCGGAAAGGATCGAGAAGCCCACTCCAGGAACTCTATAATCCCACCCAGGTGAGTTTCTCGTGGCTGTGACCAAATTTCCCAGCCCAGTGTACAAATACAGGCTCTCTTGAAGGTATACTGGTCTGTTTTTTCTCATTTATATGCAGTAGCTGCCTTCATCTTGGAGAGCTGATCCTGGGACCTGCAGAGTTTAGCTATAAAGTTCTATAGCTTTCGCTAAGGGCCTGATTTTTAAAGGTTTTTAGCATCTAATGATGTGGACTCCTCTCAATTTTTTTCTTAGGTACCTAAAAGCCTTAAAAAGAGTACTTTATAGATCTCCTAGCTAGAAGCTGGGGCATCGTGATTTAATATGTCGATCAACACATGGAGTGGCAGGGTGGGGTGAGAGAATGCGGTGGTATACATGAAATGACGAGTGTGGTAGGACTGTAAATTGCCATAATAACACATGAATATCATTTATATATGGCTTTCAGGTAGCCAGTTGCTCTTTCTGTCCTTGCTTGTACGAAGTCTAGACAAACACAGTAGGTCATACTCTTCCTTACACTGTGTGCTATTTGTTACAAACTGTTTGTAAAAAAAAGAAACTGTTTGTAAAGAGAATGTCTCAAAAAACTGGAGTGGGAGGCCCTGTGGGGGAGAGGTGGAGTGAATTCTGTGGAGGTGGGGCAGTGGGCCGTTGCCCTCTCTCTCCCTGCTGTTGTTGCCCAGGGGCAGAACTTGCCTAACTGCGCAGGGGCAAGCCAGAGAAAATGAGAACTTCTGGAACAGCCTATTGCATAGGCATAGGAAAGACTATATAGGCAACACCTCACCTGTGTTTTTGTCAATCCATCACCTATGGACCAAGCTTGCTACTCTGCAACAACGCAGGATCCAAGGGTGGTGATTCCCCTTTTCCTATCCTGTCCTTTGCTCTTTTCTCTTTCCTTTTTCTGCTCTCTCTTCTTCTTCATATATTCAGGTATATAAGTGTACGGATTGTGACAGTTGCCAAAGCATATTGAATTGTGACACCAAAGTGCCTTTATTCACTCCCCGGAGGTTATCAGTTGATCGATGACAAATTGTCTCCATTCACTCACTAAAACTGTCAGTTAATAAAGTTACCAGCTAAATTGTTGCTCTGAGTCATTGCCATGACTCGACCCACCCTGTGGCTCTGCCGAGCAGAGGCTGGTTCTTCCACCTGCACGAAAGCTCTCGGGGAATTCAAAAGATTCACCCCCATCATAACCCACCACGTGGGACAAGACACTATTTAACACCTGATGGTCTTGATGGGAAATTAGTATAGTCTCAGCTAGAGTTCTTGTGACAAGAAGTGCAGGAAAGCTAACTGAAATTTGTGCTCCTGTTCACCGTTCTAGATCAGTTTTTTCCCTGCATGTGGGCTGAATTGGCACATTCAGGAGCAGCATTTCCTGTTGGCAGCTGAGAGGAAGTGCTGCCATTGAGAGAAAATGCCAGCTGACTATTAAACATATTTATTAAAGTTTAACAACTGCCTATTATATATTTATCCATCAATGAATACATTGAGTTTTACTAAATTGGCTATTAAGGAAAGTGACTATCCCAGTAAATCTAACTTGTTAGATTTAACAAGGCAGTAAATGTTTTAAATACTATTTGATTATGAAGAGACTCACTATATAGTGTGCAAAATGCAGTCTAAGTGATTTAAAGTATTTATATGAAGAATTGACAACAACCCAAAGATATGTGATATCTGTTACATAGTGCAATAAGGCTCCATTTGCTCAACAGTGTTGTTTTCATGAACGTAGGCTGACTTTCTAATTCAATTTGAATTCTGTGCATGGTTGGGAACATCAGTTTATCATACTAATATACTGGCCTTTATTGACCATTGTGGGAGTTAGCACTGGGTAAATAGACAGTGCCTGTGAAAGCCCTGAAGAGGAACAATCCAGTACTACAAAGGAAAAATATTGGCATTTGCAGGTTAAATTTAAAGACTCTTTGCAGATGCTCAAGATGGGACGGTAATAGAAAAGAGACTGGCTGAGTAATTAGTCTCTCTGGGGTCTGCCGTGTGTCGGTAAAAAACCTCCTTGCCCTTTAAAGACCATCCCGTAAGAAAGAAACATCCCCATCCATTGAAGGGCCATAATCCCAGAGCCCCTGCAGGCTTGGTCAACTGAAAAGATTTCCTGAGCTTCCTGAAGCAGGGGACGCAGCTGGCAGCTCCGTCACTGACTCTCCTTCCTTTCTGCATGCCCTGACCAAGCAAACCATTAGCATCCCTTTCCGGGCTCGCCTACGAGCCAGCCAGAAAGTCGATGTTTGAGGAAGTGCTGCAGTTCTTGCAGCTGATGTTGAACTAAGCAGATGGTGTTTTTTACACCGAAGTGTTTCCATCAGCTCGCTGACATCCGTTCTTACCAAGTTTTAGTTCTTATCTCTTTCTTTGTTCTTAGTTGGTGTTTGTTTGTTCTTTGGATGGAAGCTTGCATGCTGCACTCAGTGCTAGAGGGATTGGCAATCTCAGGCAAGCATGTGCATGCATTTTGGGAAAAAAAGAAAAGGTAGTGAGTAGAGGCTGCCATAGAAGACAACATACTGGAGATGACCCCTACAATGTTTCTTCAAATACTTGGGTCATCTTTTTCTGTTTTTACCCAAATAAATGTCTGTCTCTGAGGTGGCAGATTAGAGACTGGTCTGTATCTTGGCAGTAACATTCTTGTCCTCAAGAATTCACCAGTAGTTGTGAGGTTGTGGGGATGGAGATCAGACCTCTAATATTTCTCTTCACTTTCTTGCTGAGTCAGTTGTGATCAGTCATTTGTAAAGTCAAGTCAGAAGTCAATATATAATAAATATGGAAGAAGACATTTTTGGCCAAAATATCTCTTATTGATCTAGGTAATAGAAAACATTGGTTAGATCTTTAACTCTTGACCATGAGAACTTGTTGGACTCTTGGTGTGGGCGAACCCATGTTTTTCTCCTAGATGCCAGTGTCTGTGTGTGCCATCACAGGAACTCTTTAGCACTCAGTTTAGCTGCCTCAGAGGAACTGTGGAGCTGAAGGAGCAGATATTTGTAGTTCACTTTGTAGTTCAAAGGAATCTGTATAATTCAGAGTTAGGCCACTGAAAGATGCCCTGCAGCTATGGCTTTGGATTGCTACAAGCTAGATGCAGTTGTGATTTTTTAGGAGTAGGAAACTTTAAATATTTAATGTGTCCATGTGCATGTTTTTTACATGATCTACTATAAAAGAACCCACCTATGGCTCACCATCCTCTGCTATAGAGTGCACTGTACATTTCATGTGCTTCAGGTTTCTTAGCATAGGCAGCAGTGTGCAACCATGACTGCTACTGCTGCGGTTCCTGGGGATGTCTCCAGGACCCCTGAGAGAGGAGAGCAAGGGAGAGGGCTGTATGTATCCCTGCTTTGAGATGGTATTAAGGGCCCATACATACTTGCATGAAGTGTGCTCCTGGCTGTTTCTTATCAGGGGAGATGAGAGTTCGGCCACGGATTGAAATAGGTGCCAGATAGGGTCAATACTCTCTCAGATTTAAAATGCTGTGGCTTAACACGAATAAGGTTTTTCTTCTGCATGGTCAGCATCAGGTTGCACTGTCCTCATAAAACCAGATGGAGACAGGTTGATTTACACCAGCTAAGAATTTGACTGTGGGTATTTACTGTGCTGACATATAACAGCCTCTCTGATCCTGCACTGTTTTGTTTCCTTCTATGGAGTTGTTTGCGGATGCCATCATTTGTGTCTTGAATCTTTTTTTTGCTTGATAAATGGTTGTGGAAAGGAAAGAGAAAGCAAAGGAACACAGAAATGAAGAAAAGAAAAAGGACACACACACATACCCGCATGCCTCCACAAAAAAATCCAACCCAAACCAAAACAACCAGAAAGGAAGATTTAGCTTGAGTAAATTTGAATGAAGCAATGATCTGGAGGTAACTGAAAGGGTAGTCTGATGACTTGTAGGAGCTGAGTGTTAGAATTGCAGTCAGATTTTCAGTGGACTGAGCATAATTGTTCATATATTTGGTGGAGAAGAGGAGGATAAATGAGTGGAGATACTACTAAATTAGGGCTAGAGAAAGTGTCCACGACAAAGCCCGTATGTTATTTATGTCTGAGTTGAGTGTCTGACCTTGTGATTATTGTAAAAGTAGGACTAATACTTTTGCTCTTTTGCCTATTGCAATAGAGCAGAATGTGGGAAGTGCATTTGTCTGAACAAAAGATTTCTTCTCTGTGGCTTTCGCTGCAAGATTTTTCATGACCACTAATATACCGTGAGGGAAAGAAAAGTCAATATAACTGAAGTGGATTTACACTGAGTAAGTGCATTTCCGGGCTGTGGTCTCCACATACATGGCAGGCAGTGTGGAGCGTCTTTGAGACCCTATTATCTTTTTTTTTTTCCTTTCATTTTCAGGTAGAGGTTTAGTAATAAGGTGCAGAGCTACCTGCGGCAAATTTTGAGGGCTGAAATGGACCATCTCTTTAATGGGTTTATTAAAAAGCCAGTTTGGATCTGTATTAAGCAGAACTATTTTCCTTCACACATAGTTGGAAGGAGAAGAAGATTCAACACATGGCAGGTAGCAAAGGAGAAAATACAGATGTAACTGAACACAGATGAAGAGCCCTGCAGGAATGTGACATAAGCTTGCACTGTATCTTGGGTGGTTTTTGTTTTTTTTTTTTTTTTTTTTTTTGTACATGAAACCCCAGGAATTTAAGAATATGGGCAAACAAATATTTGCCAGACATATTCTTGGAAGGCAACATATATAACTGTGTCTTGTAATTTGCATGACTGTGTACAGCCCCACTGCTCCAAAAATAACAGATAATTGTGGATCAGCCATGAGCTGGAGTCACCAGAAGTTCATAATTGGGCAACATCATACTTGAGGCTTGCACACTTTAGTGGCTAGCATTGATCTGTTTGGTGCAATGAATGTGTTAATAAATTACAAGAAATTGCAAACCAAAATAGACCAAATGTTAAAGGAATGGGAAGTAA